GTGTAGTGCCTTCGTAAGGATGCTGAGTCGAGGCGGAGGGAGCTGCATATCCGTACCTACGCTGTGATTCCTCTCAACGAGGAGTGCGGCATCATCGAATGGGTCAACAACACGGCCGGTCTGCGACACATTCTCACCAAGCTGTACAAAGAGAGAGGTAATAATAATCACTTTTCAGACAACAAGTGCAGTCCAAAGTGCTTCACATAGGCATTTCTCAAAAAATACAGATGCCAGTAAAAGACATAAAAACAAACTAAAACTAGCATAGAGTAGACATATGTAAAAAATACATTTAGATTAAAGGTACAACCAGGGACGTGCACAGGTACGGGCTAATGTTGCCCGGGCAACGGCATTTATTATTTATGTTCTATATCGCTAAGTGTGTGATTACACATGTTACGTATTATATATATATAATATTTATTATAGGCTACTGTATTGGTGCGTTAAGACCACCTCTCCGTGTCGGATTTTGGAAAATGGATTTTGAGTTTTCTCATGGCAGGGACTTTACTTCCTCTTGACACCGTCGGTTGTTTACAAAAAAACACCTATAGTTGTTATTGTGCTTCTGTGTTTCTGTGTCTTTTCATCTGCTCCGTAAACTCCTTGGTAACACTCCCTCAACGCTCCGCTCGCTCTCTTTTCTTGATCGCCCTCTCACACAGGAGAACCCTTCACTGTCCCGCTTTATTGTAGGATTTCTGCCATGTCTCTACTTTAATTTGACCATCTCTGTTATTAAGTTATGGAATACTAAATAAATAAGTAATTAGATACCTTACCGTTACGGCCCGTCCACACAGCGGCGTGCGTTGACGCTTGCCGGCGGGCGTGTCTGACACTCGATCCAACAACCAATCACATGAATCTCCCGCCCCTGACACACAAGCAGCGGTTTGATTGGCTAGAGCTTGTACTGGCATATGATTCGATTGGCTGACGCTTCTGCCGAGGCGTCAAAAGTTGAACATTGCTCAACTTTTGCAGCGAGCCACGCCAGCAACGCTCCGCGTCGCTTCCCATAATGCAGTTCGGCTAAAAGTGACGTCACCCCATTCAAAGTGAATGGGCAGAAGCGTTGGAAGCTTCAACGCATGCCGCTGTGTGGACGGGCCGTTACTGCGCTCATACAGTATGATAAGAATAATGCGTATTGAACTGGTTTAATTAATTAGTGAGTTTATTTAAGGTAATTATAGAAGCCCTAGAAGTAGGGAATGAGTCCTTACCCCAAGTGAAGGAGTTCAAGTATCTCGGGGTCTTGTTCTCGAGTGAGGGAACAATGGAGCGTGAGATGGGCCGGAGAATCGGAGCAGCGGGAGCGGTACTGCAGTCGCTTTACCGCACTGTTGTGACGAAAAGGGAGCTGAGCCAGAAGGCAAAGCTCTCTGTCTACCGGGCCATTTTCGTTCCTACCCTCACCTATGGTCATGAAGGATGGGTCATGACCGAAAGAACGAGATCGCGGATACAAGCGGCCGAGATGGGTTTTCTCCGCAGGGTGGCTGGTGTCTCCCTTAGGGATAAGGTGAGAAGTTCGGTCATCAGGGAGGGACTCGGAGTTGAGCCGCTCCTCCTTCGCGTCGAAAGGAGCCAGTTGAGGTGGTTCGGGCACCTAGTTAGGATGCCACCTGGGCGCCTCCCTAGGGAGGTGTTCCAGGCACGTCCAGCTGGGAAGAGACCAAGTGGTAGACCTAGGACCAGGTGGAGGGATTATATCTCTTCGCTGGCCTGGGAGCGCCTTGGGATCCCCCAGTCAGAGCTGGTTGATGTCGCCAGGGAAAAGAAAGTTTGGGGCTCTCTGCTGGAACTGCTACCCCCGCGACCCGACCACGGATAAGCGGGAGAAGATGGATGGATGGATGGATAGAAGCCCTATTTTATCAGTATGTCTGCACAGCAGTTACAATCGTCAAACTACATTGAATTGTCCCCATTTTTTCTTTAATAGTTACTAACATTAGATATTTTAATGAGATATGGACCGCAAAACAAAACATTTCCCTGGTTTTCATTTTAAAAATCAAGCTTATTTTGTTTTGAGATGATGATGTGAATTACTGTTCAAATTAGTTAATGTAATAATCGTTTTGTTCTTATATTTTTTTTCGGGGGGGAGGCCCTTTTTCCAGTTTAGAGCAATAGCCCCTCCAATTGTCCCGTGCACGTCCCTGGGTACAACGATGAAATTGTGCATTAAAAGGAGGATAGTGCAAAATCAACACACAATCAGGTGACAGGTTAAAATGCATTGAGAAAGTGCAGGAGTTTGCTTCTTAAAAGGCTCAAATGTAAAAATGTGTTTTGAGTTTTTAAAGACTTCCACCGAGCTGGCTTCCCTGATGTCTACAGGTATTTAGTTTTATAAAGAAAAACAATAACGGAGCAACACATCAAACCCCCCGTGAGTAAGATACATGTTGTGAACATATTTCATTTGGTCATATTTGTGGGTGTGTTTTCTAGGTATGAACTTATCAGGTAAAGAGCTCAGAAAGCTTATCCTGCCGAAGACGGCCCCCTTTGAAGACAAGCTACGAATCCACAAGGAGGTGCTTTGTGTTCGACACATTCCTGTTTTCCACGAGTGGTTCCTCCGGACCTTCCCCGACCCCACATCATGGTACGACCCTAAATTCACGAGGGTCACTGTTTCAAAAGCAGTGTAAATTATCTTATTGTGTGTCTGTGTCTGTGTGTTATTACATTTAGGAAGCAGTTTCAGCTCGATTGAAAGTTTAGGATGTTTTTTCGGTTGGTTAAACGTTTAAAAAGGGTCAAGATCAAGTTTGAGGTTAAATTACTGATAAGGTTTACATTTTTCATAATGTAATATCTCTCACTGTGTGTGTTTACAGGTACAGCAGTCGCTCTGCGTACTGCCGCTCCACTGCTGTGATGTCCATGGTGGGCTACATCCTGGGTCTGGGGGATCGTCACGGAGAAAACATCCTCTTCGACTCTTTCACCGGGGAATGTATTCACGTCGACTTCAACTGCCTCTTCAACAAGGTTTGTGTTTGTCTCAAATTGTCTTAAAGATCCCCAATTATACTGTTGTTCATCAATATATCACAGGTCTCAGATACAAACATGTCTCTGAAGTGTTTGGCTCCAAACACCAAACAGATCATTGCAGCATTACCCATAATCCCCTCTGTTTCAGCCCTGTTTCCAAAGTGCTGATTCTCTGTCTGTGACTTTAGATGAAAATAAGGGCCCCTCCCCACGCCCCTCTGAGAGAGATTTGGTTACAAAGAACACAATGGTGCTCTAGGAGGAGATTCAGGTGATAAGGTGGGGAGGGGGTAACCTTGGTTGCTGATTGGCTAATGGTTACACAAGCCAAACAATCCTTATGACATCATAAAGTGGCCAAAATCTGATCAGCTCATTTTCAGACAGGTTTTTATAGAAATGGATCAGGACAAAAAGAGAGAGAATCTTTTTTCCTGAAACTTTGTTGATGTAGAAGAGACATGAAAAAGTGGATTTTGTATAATATGTGACCTTTAAGTAAGAATTATATATTATAAACCATGAAAAAAATCATAGAATTTGTTTTAAATATTGTTTTTTATACCCTACCTTCTGCTAGTCTTATCTGTACCTGTATTTCTGTAATGCTCCTTCTGTCCCTCTCCATTAGGGGGAGACGTTTGACGTGCCTGAAGTGGTTCCCTTCCGTCTGACCCAGAATATGGTCCACGCCATGGGGCCCATGGGCACCGAGGGTCTCTTCAGACAGGCCTGTGAGGTGACCCTGAAACTCATGAGGGACCAGAGAGAGCCGCTCATGAGGTGCACACCAAAAAATACTCTCGAGTACAAACACAAATTTATTTTAAAGGCCAGGGTTTGAAGCAAAAAGCATAACTTTACTTACTACATTTGGGTTCAAGGTTTTTCTCTGTCCTAAATGTATATACAGTTTTTTTTTTTAAAGATTCCAAATTAAACATTTCTATTTTTATATTTCCTCTAAGTGTGCTTAAGACCTTCCTGCATGACCCCCTGGTGGAGTGGAGTAAACCAGCCAAAGGAGGACTTTCTAGAACGCAGGCCAACGAGACAGGAGAGATAGTAAATGAGAAGGTGAGTGCAGTCTACGCCTTTCTAGTATGTTTACACGCCTCAGAGCAGCATACATAATATAACACATAAATGCCATATTTTTGCCATTACTATAACTGCATTGTATATCTTTCGCCCTTGTTCTCTGTCAGGCGAAAACCCACGTGTGTGACATCGACCAGCGACTGCAGGGTGTCATAAAGAGCCGGAACAAAGTGCTGGGTCTACCTCTGTCCATAGAGGGACACGTCCACTACCTCATACAGGAAGCCACTGATGACAAGCTGCTCTGTCAGATGTATCTGGGCTGGGGACCCTACCTGTAAAACATGCCTTAGTTTACTAAATGAAAGCATTGGAAATGAAGTTCAGGAGAATTTAAAAGGTTTTTCTGTTATCCAAAGCCTACACAAAACAACCAGGAGTGCCCTCCAAGGTGGCTCCGAACACCCACGACTGTTTGTTGAAGAGCCCTTTATGATTTAACCTTGTATGTTCTAGTACTTCTATCCATGTTAAGTTTCCTGTTTCTGGAAAAAAATATTATTTTTGTATTCATTCAGTATTCACTTGTAATAAAGGATTTGTGTTTTTCAGAGTTGATGTTGTAGGTAAATGTGTCTTCTAATCTTTTAACCCTCCTTAGATTCTCTTCAGCAGTCAGATTGTTTTAATCCTGTGTGTGTGTGTGTGTGTGTGTGTGTGTGTGTGTGTGTGTGTGTGTGTGTGTGTGCGTGTGTGTGCGTGTGTGTGTGTGTGTGTGTGTGTGTGTGTGTGTGTGTGTGTGTGTGTGTGTGTGTGTGTGTGGTCCAATCAGCTGATCCTTCTCACAGGAGCACCAATTACAGCAAAGTGTTTGCTCATGAAAGCCTTAAGAGGCTGAGAAAGCCTTTGTGAGGTTAGTAGTGTGAGGGATGTTGGATTTATTTTGTAAGCAGGAGTTGTGTTGTCTAGTCATGCGTTCAGACACTCAAGCGGTCACTGTATTTTTTGTAATTATTTTTCTTATTTTTGTAAATGCCTGGCTGCTGTTCCAGCTTTCTTTTGGATAAAAGTATTGTTTTTCTTAATGAAGAGGATCTTTCCAATCCAGCACTGGATATATGGGCTATTTTTGAGGATTTTAAAGATGCACTGTTGTCTTTTTACTTGATGGCATATTGTTTTTGTGTCCTAGAGATTTTCTCGTTGAATAGAATTCACATTTTGTAAATATGTCACTTGTTGTATTGTATCTTTTGTTAGGTGGCGTAGGCGCGTTGAGATTACGTTTTTATTTTGAAAGACCCCACCGGAAGTTTCGGGGAATCTTTTTTTGTTCTCATTATCGGAGATTTTAAATCAAATTTGTTTCTTATTTTCACCCAGGTAAAGACCGTTATTAAATCATATACTCTCGTGAATTTTCTGCCAAACGTACTGGTATTTTAAAAAACAAAACACGTTGCGGTGACGCTAGCGTTTAAAGCCGCAAATGAAAAGCCCTAAAAGGAAACAGATAACGGTAAAGACAATACCATGGATGTATACACCTGACGTAAGGCCTGTTGGTGTAACTTAAAAATCAGCCGATACAGCCTAACAGACGCTGTAAACAAACAAAAAGCCATCTCGTCAGTGAAGGAAAGACACAGCATGTCTGGAGGATAAACCCACAACAACACACGGTGCCTGCTGCTGCACGCGCGCCGTCTTCATGGGTTCGGTTGCTCGGTGATAACGGACTGTAATCTGGCCGGAGGTTAACGGTTGTTGTTGCCATGGCGAGGTCAGCTGCTGGTTGCTGTCGTGGCTCTCTGGGCTTTTTATAGTCCTGCTGGACATTTCACGTTCTGTAGGACAAACCGAAGACAGCGCGCGACCTTGGAGGACGTTGCCATGGATTTAACACGGCTGGCTGTGGATGCGGGTCAGTTCATCAACCGGGCCGTTCAGGTAATAAATGAACGGTAACGTCAGTCCTAATTAAACACGTTATGATCGCCGTCAATTGTAACCAAACCGTGTTAAGACGTTAATGTCACCCTAAAAGACGGGTTTAGGACAACCAGTCACTTTCATAGCAGCAGGTCAATAAAACGATACATTAAAACGTGTTTTTGTTTTTCTGTGATCCCACCCAGTACACAGAAGAGAGTCTCGGCCAGGCGGAGAAAACAGGGCTGAACTCCGGGCTGGAGGAGCGCCTGGCCCTGGTAGAAGCCACCAAGACCTGGACAGACCAGATCATCTCCCAGACTGAGGTTCTACTGCAGCCCAATGCAGGTTAGAAACTGTAAAAAAAGGGTCTTTATTCGTGTAGTTTATTTTAATGTTCAGCAGGACCTGAAAGTATGTGATGACTGTCATTTTTTGTTGGTTATTCGACAGACAGTCGGCAGTCAGAGGATTAGCTCACATCCAAGCCCTCATGCAAAGGGAGGGACTATCAATAATTGGTTTAAATCACATAACATATTCATCCGTGCTAGCTTGCCCATATTAATGAAAAATATGCAAAAATAATATATGTTATATTACAAAAACCTATATTAAATGTTCTTTTATAAGAAACGCCTTTTTTTCATTACTGAGTTGTTATGAATTGATTATAAGATAAGAAAATATATTTTAACGATATTCTAACAGCATCCATGTCATGTATGTAACTCTAAATCAATACCAGATATTATTACATTGGAAAAATAAGACTCAGATCTTTTTGAGAAATGTTTCCAATATATTTTATGATAATTAATTGCTTTTTTTATTATTGCAAGTTTTATTTATTTGCAATAGCTTCCATATCATGTGAATCTAACTTAACCCAAGTTGCACACACCTATTTTTATTTAATTTGAGTGTTTTCTATTATCATATCACAATATCAAAACAAAATATAGGTTGTATAATATTGTACTGTATAAAAGCCAACAGTTTGCTCTGATGAACACATCCTTATGGCTGCACCAAACTAAAACCAGTTTAAAACAAAGACGTGTGCTTTATTTCCAACTAATTGCTACTATACATTTACACTCTATACAACCACTGAATAATGACTCTGCTGTTTGCTCTTCTACATTAGAAACATCCCCTGTGTGCCCTTCTGTTTGCTCTGCTGTGATTGGCCTGTTCAGATGAATAGGGATGTCATTCTTTTGCCTCCACTTACCTCCGCTAATGGAATTATGAGTGGTTGTGGTCTGCAGTCAATCAAATAAGGGGGGCACTCAGATGCTGTAAAGTAAACTCATGTTTGTTCAGCATCGAGGATATCATTGAATATCGACCGAGGGCTTTTAGTCTCTATGAAGAATAATCTTTGTTTACACTACGATATATACCTCATTGCAGAGACCAGCCATTTGCAATCTGTCCACTGTCTCACATTATGTCAGGTGTCAATGCTTGTCCTAGTGCTTCTCAAAGTGTGGTCCGCGGACCACTGGTGGTCCGTGAGCGCCCCCTAGTGGTCCGTGAGTATATTGGTACAATTTCACATTTGAAATAAATAAATACATTTAAGTTTTCCGCACTCTCGCGGGAATATCTCCGCAATGGAGCGAGCTTAAGTTTCACTTTCAATTGCATGATATAGCCCAGATAAACACCTTCATCACACATGTGGCCACTTGTTTGTACCATTTTCAGGCGATTTGTAAAAAACGATGTGTTTTTGGATATTTGTGGAGTTAGGTGGTCCGCGAGTGTTTTTTTATTGGTTAAGTGGTCCTTGGTATGAAAGAGTTTGAGAAACACTGCTATAGAACATAGTAGCATGTAGTGCTCATGCTTCGACAATAATTGTTTTCTACTTTTATTTAACAGTGTTTTTTTAGGATTTTAATTGTAATCTTTCTATTATAGCCTATATTTATGTTTTTGACTTTTGCAGTGCTTTTTATCTTAATTGTGCATAAAATATAAACACATTCACAGTGTTTTCTTAGAGAAGATAAACCTAAATGAAGCTCTTGATCCTTGATGACCAGGAGCCCGGTTGGAGGACCGGCTCTATGAGCAGCTGGACTGGAGCGTGCCCCCTCGGCCTCGTGCTCATGAGGTCCTGGGAGACCACATGACCCAGGCTGGGCTGGAGATGGGGTCCAACACACCCTATGGTGAGTGTACATTAAGTCAAAGTCAACTTTATTGTCAATCTTTCAGTTTGTGTGTACTGTACAGACAGAGAGATCGAAATACCGTTCCCCACAATCACGAATACAAAATATATATATATATAAAAATAACATATGTATGCAAATATCTATATCCTATATATATATATATATATATATACATATATACAATCAACAGACACATTTAAACATATGCACACTTTAAGACCTAAATAAAAGCACAACAATCAATATATACAAAATAACAGTCACTTCAATATCTTTGAAAATGTACATTAATCAGTATCAACATCATTAATAGCCAGTGTGTGTTCTTCGATTAAAAGCATCAGTATGTTTTGTGTTCAGGAACTGCACTGCTCAGGTTCGGAGAGACTCAAAAACGACTTGGTGAGATGGAGAGGAATTTGGTCCAAAGCACCAACATCCACTTTCTCACCCCTCTGAGGAGTTTCACCGAGGGAGAATACAGAGCCATGCAGGTGACACACACACACACACACACACACACACACACACACACACACACACACACACACACACACACACACACACACACACACACACGCATAAATTGCCCTTCTGATTGTGTGGATGTTATTCCCGTTAATTGCCTCTCTAATCTCTTCCTTTGTTCTATTGAAATGCAAAGTGTATAGATTGTTTGTATACCTAATAGCACAATGAGTAGGATTTCCCTAAAACAAAACTATTTAAAGACCCATGCCAACATAATCCCCACTACAAGTGTGTGGCGGCGTCTGCCTTTCTCCTTTCCTTTTATATCTGCTGTGATCTGGACATTTCTGGACGTCACCCTTTATAAAAACATAGCCACCACATGCAGATTGTCAACATGCAAACAAATGGAAATCTAGGAAAATGGGACACAGGCAAAATTAGGCGACTCTGAGGAAGCCTTTTCACCTGCTGGCGAGCACTGTTACACTGTGTTTACAAACCACACATCATACCAACTGTACTTGAACATGGCTTTAAAAAGTGTTTGTTTGTTCATAGGATGAGCGCAAGATGTTGGTGAATAAGCGTTTGGACTTGGATATAGCTAAGACCAGACTGAGAAGAGCCCACGAAGCCGACAGAGAGGGCAGAGTGAGTAACGAGTCTTAACCTTCACTTATATAGTAAATATCCTTCAATACATTTAACATACTGGCATCAATTTAAAAACACACCAAAATCCTTCGTTTATTTTTTATCAGTAATTTACAGTAATATTCTCCCATTCCACGTTCCTGCTTTTCTCTTTGTCAGAACCTGAATGCAAACCCGATGGAGGACTACATGGCTCACGTCTCTTACATGTTCAGCTTCCTGCGGGTCAAATGGCTAAAGGTCAGTGAAGCTAAAGGAACACAAACATTGACAGGCATGGCTGAACTTGCTGTTTGGACACTGAATGAGTCACTTTTCATTCTTTGTCTCTCTCCTTCCCCAGATGTGGGCTCAGGAAATCTCTCAGGTGAGTCCATGCTTATCGTTTCATGCACACAGGACCTGATACAACTATTCTTCATGCTGTTATAGAGGGAGACTTTTTAAATTACACTTCCAGCTGTTATATAATTGTATAGAATAAAGCATGTTCCTGTTAGTTTCAGTGATAGCTTCTATTGTTTGGCTCATTTGGGCTTAGTTCTGGGTAATAGTTTTAGCTACAAAGTTGGACATCTTTAGAAAATATGACCAAAGATGATTTTGTGTGTGTGTAGGCAGAGATGGAGCTGGGTATCTGTCAGAGTCTGTTCAATCGACAGACAGAAATTACAGGACGAGTCGTGGAAGGAATCAGCAACACTCATGTAGGTGCACACAAACACACACAGAAAGAGAGAGAATTCACATCTCTTGTCTCAACAAAGTTTTGTTCTTATTTCATGGATTTTAGAGTTGTTGCCTCTATAAATGCACTGTGTGCCATCTATCTTGTGTTTTATGTGTCTTGTATGTTGGTTTTCCTTTTTAAAGACCAACCACATGCGGAGCCTGACGGACTTTGTGGAGGCTCAGGCCTGTTACTTCGACCAGTGCAACCAGCACGCTCAGGAGCTTCAGAAGCAGCTGGCCAGGTCTGTATATATGATTCACAACAGATAAAGACTACATTTGTAAGCCTTACGGCCCGTCCACACAGCGGTGTGCGTTGAAGCTTCCAACGCTTCTGCCCATTCACTTTGAATGGGGTGACGTCACTTTTAGCCGAACTGCATTGTGGGAAGCGACGCGGAGCGTTGCTGGCGTGGCTCGCTGCAAAAGTTGAGCAATGTTCAACTTTTGACGCCTCGGCAGAAGCGTCAGCCAATTGAATCATATGCTAGTACAAGCTCTAGCCAATCAAACCGCTGCTTGTGTGTCAGGGGCGGGAGATTCATGTGATTGGTTGTTGGTCTAGTGTCAGACACGCCCGCCGGCAAGCGTCAACGCACGCCGCTGTGTGGATGGGCTGTTAGGCTGCCTCCTTGTTCTATTTCAATATTCTGTCTCAATGAGAGTACAGTTTTTTCTTAACTAACTACAATTTGCAGTTGTTGGGAAAATACTGAATGTACTCTTCCGATATCAGAGTCCCCATGGTAACAAAGGTATCCCACCTGTAGCTGTGTACAAGACAGGATGTGTGATTACCTAGAAGAGCATCAGGACTGTTTGAGGCATATGATAGCTATGTGATTAACATGATGATTCAGCCTCTATGGAGATGGACATATGACAAGCATGCTCATTTCTGACGTGGAGCTAATCTGAAGTAAACATTGAATACTGCTTTCTATTCCTCCATCTTGTGACGGTGTAACTCCCTCTCTTGGATATCAGCATGTGAAGGACACTGTTCAGGAACTAGTTGATGCTCTGTATGTGATGACTACTTCCATTCTGGAGAGGATCACAGATACATGGATCCTGAGATTGAAGCTCAAGCAGTTATGCTGGGAAAATTGTGATTTTGAAGCTTGTCAATTTTCTCAACCCATGTAGTGTTTCATTGAGAAAATTATACTATTTCTTCATCTTAAAAAAAAAAGTAAGGTCACAAAACTGAAACACATAAACGTGTATGCTTTGGAGAATTGGGGTTTATACAGGACACTAAAATGTGTTCCTATTAATGAGCTCTCGTGGAGTGAACATACTTTTTTGACCATGAAAATAGGAACATGATTTAAACTGTTAGATTCAGAAGCCAAACACCACCTCAAAATGTATGTAGTATGGGATCCAACTTTTTATATTCCAAGCTATAACTCTGGACATCTGGGCTCCCAAAGAACACAAGACTATGGAGAGCAGTATTAAAAGCAAATGAATATATTTCTCCATTAATGACTTATGTTATGATTTTGTTTCTCCATGCAGCATCCCAATAGTCCTCTGCTCCAATAACTGGCAGTTAGCGATTGGTGATGAAGTTACGCAGCTGTCCCCAAACAACCACGTAGCCAATGAGCCTGTCGGGTTTAATCAGGTCACTGCAGTTCCCATCGAAGTTCACAACAACCCAGATTTCAGCCAGGATTCATGGACTGCTAATCCACCGGCCTCCACTGAAAGATCAGCTTCCACTGTAACCACACAGCAAAATAACAACAACAACAACAACAACTTATTTTCTGATGGCCCAGCAACCAGCCACTGTTCAGTCGTCAATCAAGCACTTCATCATGTCTCTACAGCTAACTCGGACAGTCACTGCACCAATCAGATCGCAGCGTTCAGCAGAACAACGAGTGCACAAAACACCGCCGCAACTGCTGAAACAACCAATGGTGCGGGTAGGGGGACTACAACAGTTCCCCCACCTTCTCATCTCACTGGAAATGAGTCTCACAATGGGAATGCATCAGCCAGTGACACCGCAACAACTGATGACATGACAACTGAGACTTTAACAACCAATGGCATGTCGGCTGAGCCCCAAACAGCCAATGAAATTGCAAGCAAGCAACCCACCGTTAACGGAGAAGATGTCCAGGAGTCATCAGCCAGTCAGGATATGGGTCAGTAGCTGGGACTGACTTTAGATTGAAGCTTGAGCAGTAATTAGCAGTCTTCTTCAAACAATCAGAGAGTACAGACTGCACTATAAGGAGCAGATAGACTATCATTAGACCACATTAATTAATCCCATAGGGAAGATCATGTGAAGTGGTTGTAAAAGTGCTTATTTTTCTCAACGTGATATAGTGCCACATTCATTTTAGCCTTTAACCATGTTCATATAATATTCATGTCGTATGGAAATGATGACTGTTGTGTATCAGTCCCCTCTTGTGGCAATGGCTGTAATATTTTTGGACTGAAAAGTGGATTTCAGACTCTTATTTTTAGATAAAAATCCAAACTAATGAAGCTTTGTGCCAAGTATATATGATCAGTGTGAAAACATTGATTCATGTTGAAGTGAATCTGTGTGTTTGTTTCCATGTGCACACTGTCGCTTGTGTTTACAGCTTTTGCAAATCTCTTACACCTTGAAGGAGAGGTGAGGTGAGGTTTGTGACTCTGCCACCTCTGAACTCTTGTTACTCCCAGTTGAGCTCATTTTCCATCTGAAACATGTTACTGACATGTGTTTGTGACTCCGGCCAGGCGCCCAAACACCAGGCTGAACAGGACCTTTATGCTGCAGCATGGGTTAAAATATGTTGCCTCATGCACAGTCTGGGTGTTTCCCCTCACAGTCAAATCAAAATACGCTCTTTTACCCTTTTGCCCCATTAGGTGAACTGGGTAGAAGTTTCCAAGTCCAGATGTTGTTAATTCTCTTTGTGAGGGCAGAAAGGCTCTGTGGTGTGGGTCTGCTCTGGGGACCCGGGATGGAAACACACACACTAATGTAGCAATGACCCTACTGATGTAATCATGAATCAGCGCTTTGCTCTTTGTTGTAGATGTGTGTGTGAATGAATAGTCGCTGCCAGTTCTAAACTGCGTGTCCATGCAGTCATGATGTACGTTGAGCTGATGTCAGCGTGAGGTTTGATTCATGTAAAGATGTGGAAATAAATATGCAAACAGTGAGGTCATTTCAATCCAAGGCAAGTGTGGATCTTTTTCTGTCCGGTCGAGGTGTTTCTGTCATTTCCTCGCCTTTTACTAGTGCTATTTCTTATAGAGCACACACACACACACACACACACACACACACACACACACACACACACACACACACACAACACACACACACACACACACACACACACACACACACACGTTGAGGTCTTGATCATGCTTCCTGGACCAAGACCAAGTTATATTTAAAAACAATTTCTGACGCTGTAATGCTTGGCTTCCTTCACTGATTGCAATATTATGAAAATTGTATCAACCGGATAATTGGGTCAGATGGTGTGTGACGTTCGCCACAACCTCTGCGCACACACTGAAACACTACTGTGTGTGTGTGTGTGTGTGTGTGTGTGTGTGTGTGTGTGTGTGTGTGTGTGTGTGTGTGTGTGTGTGTGTGTGTGTGTGTGTGTGTGTGTGTGTGTGTGTGTGTGTGTGTGTGGTGTGTGTGTGTGTGTGTGTGTGTGTGTGTGTGTGTGTGTGTGTGTGTGTGTGTGTGTGTGTGTGTGTGGTGTGTGTGTGTGTGTGTGTGTGTGTGTGTGTGTGTGTGTGTGTGTGTGTGTGTGTGTGTGTGTGTGTGTGTGTGTGTGTGTGTGTGTGTGTGTGTGTGTGTGTGTGTGTGTGTGTGTGTCTACATCACCATTACATCTATCTGTAGCTTTGACTGGTGTCCCCCTCCCCGTAGCCTATCGCGTACAATGTGTCGGAGCGCTAGCCAATAGGAGCCTGAGTGTTCCATTGTGATGTCACTATGTTGCAGAAAGTAAACAAAGGAGACCACACTACAGGAGAGGGAACCCAATGCAGAATCGCGACTCTTTATTTTATTAACATCAAAAGGTAAACGTGTGTGTGTGATATTTTATCAATATATGTTGTTGGTGTCGGCAGGCCTGTGTTAATTATTCTGGGTATTAATCAGACTAATGGACCAATCAGGAGCTACTGAGTCTGTAAGTGTACCCCCAGGCTCAGATCCACCTGGATCAGCAAGGCCTCAGCTCTACTAACTCCTGAAGAACCAGGCTCAATTACCTGCTGTTTCAATGCAGACGACGCACTCTGTAATGAGGTGTGGCCCTGCCTAAGGGTGAGGGTGGCAGCTGTGCAATCTTACCTCAAAGCAGGAGAGGAGAGCGCAGATTTATTTAAGTTACCCCAATCCAAAGGGTGGGATGATTTTATTTGAAGAAAATGATCCACGCTGTTACAGGGTTTTACCTTCTCTCGTTACATGTGACAATCATACACAATGATTCATGCTGTATCATCCAATTACTAATATGAAACCTCAATTCACAGATTTACTTTTCTTATTGTATTTGGTTAATCTCTCTTCACCTGTCCCTCTTTAGTTGCACTCAACAACTAATCTGGCAGAATTCAGAGGAAGTTCCTCATAGGTGGCCGGTGATATCAAACTCATTCAAAACAAAACCAAGTTGAGAGAGCTCGCCGAGTTGAGAGAGCTCGCCGAGTTGAGAGAGCTCGCCGAGTTGAGAGAGCTCGCCGAGTTGAGAGAGCTCGCCGAGTTGAGAGAGCTCGCCGAGTTGAGAGAACTCGCCGAGTTGAGAGAGCTCGCCGAGTTGAGAGAGCTCGCCGAGTTGAGAGAGCTCGCCGAGTTGAGAGAGCTCGCCGAGTTGAGAGAACTCGCCGAGTTGAGAGAGCTCGCCGAGTTGAGAGAGCTCACCGAGTTGAGAGAACTCACCAAGGAGAAACCCCGCTCTGGAGCTTTCTCCCTCTCAGCCAGAGCTTTGATGCTGCACACAGGGACAGGAAACCAAAGACACTCCTTCATACCCTATGTGGGGAAAGGTCATGACCTCTGGTGTGTGGGACTGGACTTGTCTCCTATGGCAGTGTTTCTTAAACTGTTTCATACCAAGGACCAGTTAACCAATAAAAAACCCTCACGGACCACCTGACTCCACAAATATCCAGAAACAATAGGCCTGCTTACCACTCCAACAGTACATTACAAATGACAGCCTAACCTTCTCTGTATCGCCTCGTTCACACATTAAATCAACAATACAACTACAGATTATATAAGCATTTAGTTCAAATGCGATTTAAAATGCTCTCAGGTTTTACACCTCTTATGAAATGTAGACTATATTTATTACGGAGTTTAGTCCGAGCCAACAGACTCACAGATTGTTGGCAACTGAGAGAAATGCTAAATACAACACATGTAGTACAACACAAACCTCCACTCTGGATTTTCAAAACAAAATACAGTAAACCGATGGTCGCAGGCCCAAGTTTAACTCTCTGAGGCCTGCATGGTCTGCCTACAAAACAAAAATAAACAAACGTTTATGCAGCCCCAACAACAGCCTCTGATCATCAACAGACTTCATGCAATGCTTCTTTGGATGCATATATTAGATAATAATCTCTATCTGACTCCTAAAACCTCTAAATCTACTTCCAGCATGGATAAATGTTCATAAAATACATTGTTTGTTTTATTCGCTTCTTGATATCCTAAAAAACACATTGTTTTTCTAGAACAGAATACAAATCGCCTGAAAATGGTACAAACAAGTGGCAACATGTGTGACGACGGTGTTGCGCTGGGCTATATCATGCAATCAAAAGTTAAACTTAAGCTTGCTCCATTGCGGAGATATTCCCGCGAGAGTGCGAAAAACTTTAATTAATTACTTAATTTCAAATGTGAAATGTTACCAATATACTTACGGACCACTAGGGGGTGCTCACGGAGCACCAGGGGCAGAAGCATTGTCCTATGGTATATGGCGCTGGTATGGCCTAACCCAGGGGTCAGCAACCCGCAGCTCCCGAGCCCTCTGCTCTGGCTCCCTTGAGCTTAGACACAAATAAGAAGGAAATTAAATAATACAGTGAATGTAAAATATGAGTCACATCCTGCTGTGGTCCCACGCCAGCGCCTTTTCTTACAGGTGATTAACCTGACCCCCGGCTCGATGAGCGAACTATGGATACATCAAAGAAAAGTATGGGAGGGACACAGAGGGTTTAATTCAGCGTGGACAGAGTTATCTGCTTTCACACCAAACGATGCTGACTTACCGATATGTTTGATATGTAGAGAGAAGTTGTCAAAGGTGCTGCAGCCTTTACGTGTTGGAGGAAAAACACGGAAGAGGAAGACAGCTGACGATGTTCAGTCATCATTCAATCAGTTAACTCTTTTTAGGGTGCAGCTATATGTTTTATTTAGCTATCAGATATGTTTTGCGGCTCCAGAAAAACAGAATGGTTGGAAAAGGGGCAAAATGGCTCTTTTGGTCAAAAAGGTTACAGACCCCTGGCCTGAACACATGTTGGGGCTCCAGTACTCTTCTATGGAGTCAGGGGCCCCCTGCTGTGAGTGCAGTCAGCTGTCTCCTCTAAACAGCGACACCCCTAGTGATAAACTATAACAGACCTAACCACGTACATTCTGTATACTGTGATGATAGAACAACATGAAATACAATGCATTTTCTTTGTGGATTATACAAGAATATATTTGATTATATTAACATTCGTTTGAATGATTCATCTCTCCACTCACTCCCTTTCTCTTGTTCACTTCCTCTTCACTCACTCCCTTCCTTTCTGCTCACTCCCTTTCTTTTGTTCACTTCCTCTCCACTCACTCCCTTTCTCTTGTTCACTTCCTGTACACTCACTCCCTTTCTCTTGATCACTTCCTGTCCACTCTGTTTGATGGCCCTGTCTTTCTTCCTCATGTCTTAAACCCATGTGGGATTCAGTCTCCTTCCCTTGGATGCTTCCCTCAGCTGAACTCAAACTCATATCTTTGTCTGTTTTACAGAAAATGGCACCTTGAAACAGAAACAGAAAGAGAAACAGAGAGCCCAACGCCATGCCCGCCATCTTTAGATTCCCGTGTTCCTGTAGTGCTCTTGGGAACCATTCTTTCTTCAGCCTTTCCTCGTGTTCTCGTTGGCTGTTAGCCATCATCGTCCTGTGAACGAAACCAGTCCAGTTAGCATGATTCAAGAAACCTGAATACCAAACAGATCACCCATTCTAGCCATGCCTCGTCATATCCCTCTATTTCAATTCCTGTTTCAAAAGTGCTGATTTGGGGTATAAAGCTTTAAAAGAGGAGGGGTCTGAGCTCATGCGGGACCCGGCAGCTACTGTGTAAACTAAATGCTGCCGTGATGAAACGCCATATCATGGATTATCAAGGATTATTCCTGAAACAGTTTGGAGCTCAAAGGCTTTCTCTCTTGCCGGTTATACCACAAGGTGAGTTCCTTTTTATTTCCTGCTTCTTCACACACATGCTCTCCAGTACAGGTTAGCTCTGAGTGTTAGCGATGCTAATGTAAACAAAAAGTGACTTTTGCATGATGGGTCCCCTTTAAATTGAGAATTTAGACCGGATATTACCTTATACTAGCATATACAGTGCCTTATATTTTGAACCCACTACATTTATTTGAGAGCCTCAGTCACAAGTTACTTCAGATTATTAATACAAAATATAAATCAACTAATAAATGATATATTTTTATAGTCAAAGCCACCCAGCGGTAAAATAAACATCTCACTTAATGTCTTTGAACTGATTCCTCAGCGTCCGGCTCATATTGTCCAAGTCGTCAGCGGCACCTCTCATGGATTGGCTCGCTTCAGTCACGTGATTGTTCTCGATCATTTTCTTCCAGCTGTCTATCGCCTTAGGAAGTGCAACCGCAAGTCCAGCAACTCCAACAACTCCAACAGTAATCTGAGCAGGAATATTTCACACCGTCAGCCTCAACAACATTCACATTGATCGTCTCAAAACTAGTATTATGATATGTAGCTGTATGCGGAGGATTTCAATAAGTCATTCAATAACACATGTAAGATCTTACCATGGCCCTTCCTTTAAGGTCATTTTTCCCTCCTTTAAGGGCAGTGCCCCCTCCTTTAAGGGCAGTGCCCCCTTCTTTAAGGGCAGTGCCTCTTTCTATAAGGGCAGTGACCCCTTCTTTAAGGGCAGTGACCCCTTCTTTAAGGGCAGTGCCTATAAGGGCAGTGTCCAATACTTTAGGAATTGTGAACATTATTTTGAAGATTTGTTCGCCTGCTTCAGCAGACAGCGGTTTAGGGTACGTTCCTCTTGCTGGTAATGCAAAGGCTTCTAAAATACGAGCAACTCCAGCAACCGCCTTTGCAGGCAAGACTCCATTTAATAATATTGCATTCAGAGGAAACTGTGGCCCAGAAGAAGAAGACCACTTGATGCTATCACAGACTGTCCACTTCTGACCATTCCTTCTGCCGATGGCTCCCAGGACCTTAGCCATGACTCGTTGGTCCAGCTCGTCTTTGTCTGCATTGACGCTCTCCGCCTTAAACTCCTTCCTCAGCTGCTCGAACAGACGCTTGATTCTTTCTGCAATCTTGTTGCTCTTGCTTTCTATGCGCTGCGCTTTCTCCATCGTCATGCTGGATAAGAGGTGCTCAGTAAGATGAGTAACCACAGATATGGTTACACCTACACCCATATATGTTGCTCCGAACGCAAGAAACGTAACCGCTAATCCGCCGGTGATCAATGTGGCCACGCCGGCTCCAACCAGGCTTGCAGCTCCCGCCACCTGCACTGAGTTCCCGATAAACTGGTTGCCGTTGCACTTCTTTCTGAGATCCTCCAGCTCCCGGGCCAGTTTCCTCAGATACTTCGCACAGCCCTCCTTCTGATCCATCCATTTGAACATCAGATCCAGCAGCTCGTCCGCGGTGCCCATCATGGAGGCTTCCTTCTGATGCCACTACAGAGGAGGTCTGAAACAAGAATGACATAGAATAATAAAAAAAAATAGATAAAAAAAAAGGATAAAAAAAAAATTATGAATTTCTTTTAATTTACAATTTTTATTTTGTAATCATCTCGCGACCCCCACTTTGGGAACCCCAGAAAAAAATTGGCCCATTACTTGCCAACCCCTGCACTAGACCAACACAGCTGGACCCGCCCCTTGACTCAGGACCCGCCCCTTGATTCAGGAGCTGCCCCTGGACTCAGGACCCGCCCCTTGATTCAGGAGCCGCCCCTGGACTCAGGACCCGCCCCTTGATTCAGGACCCGCCCCTGGACTCAGGACCCACCCCTTGACTCAGGACCCGCCCCTTGACTCAGGACCCGCCCCTTGACTCAGGACCCGCCCCTTGACTCAGGAGTGGACCCTGGACTCAGGACCCGTCCCTTGACTCAGGACCCACCCCAGGACTCAGGACCCGCCCCTTGACTCTGAACTGGTCCCTGAGATATTGTCCACATATGAAATGAAATGTCTTCATGGTACCTGGAGCGGTATCAGTGAGACAGTGATGGACTGTGACCATCATGTGAATGCGTTACGTAACACACTTTGCAGATCTCCTGATAAACCCTGTGTTTGATCAACAACAGGGACACACAGGATCTCAGCTCAATATAATAATATAATAATATAATAATAATAATAATAATAATAATAATAATAATAGTCATTAGTCTTTCAAACATCCTAATGCTGTTGCCGTGTGGGGTTTAAACCCAAAGCGAAACACAGAAAGAGATCAAAGTTCAGGATGGAAGTTTGCTGATGTCGTGCAGTTTCTCTGGATCAACAGGAAGGGTCTTCTCTGTTCACGTATCTGAGCTCAGGTAGGAAATAGGAGAGTTTCTCACCTGGTGACGAGAGGACGACCTGCAGCCACACACACTTCCTGAGAGACTTGAGGTCCTCCGGGTATTGCTGCTTATATATTGCTGCCCGTCCTGCAGTTTCACAGAAGTCACGTGACTTCTGGGAAGCTGGAGAAAAATGCACCGCCACTGGTACACATCAAGCCCCAGGAAGTGCGCCGGACTCTGATGAGAATATTCTGTCACTACCCGAGCTGCAGCCATGGATGTATAATAAGAACTGAGGGGCTGCAAAATAAGGGCTGCAGCCCTGCCCTATCTGCAGTGCGCATGTGCGAGATGGTCCGCCATATTGGACAACTCCGGACGGCAACTCAAATAGGACATTTAGCGTTTGGCAAAGCACAAAAAGAAAACAAAAAAAAGCGAGAGAGATGAGTTATTGTTATTACAACGTGACTTCACTATTATTTAACAACTCTTTTTATTGGGTTCTTTTATTTGGGGTTAAGTACATTGTCAGAATAAGTGAGAAATGGATTTAATTAGACAGCTATCATACTGAATAAATATTTACTGTGAATGTATGCAAAAATGTATGGCATTACTAAACATTTTCCATAAAACAGTTGATTCAAGAACAAATCTCTTTTATCAGTCCTTTTCTTATATGACTATTATTGCTAAATTTGAAAGGTCTTTACCAGCTTTGGAATTATATATATATAGCACCTTCTGCCATCCCATCTCTACTGACAATCATTAACATTTTTCACACAACCATTTACTAAATTAAACCATATCCCATCATAATACGAGCAAATAAAAAGGCACAACAATAAATTGTGTGTGTGTGTGTGTGTGTGTGTGTGTGTGTGTGTGTGTGTGTGTGTGTGTGTGTGTGTGTGTGTGTGTGTGTGTGTGTGTGTGTGTGTGTGTGTGTGTGTGTGTGTGTGTGTGTGTGTGTGTGTGTGTGTGTGTGTGTGTGTGTGTGTGTGTGTGTGTGTGTGTGTGTGTCACTAGCCAGCGTCCAGCCACAATAGCGTGCGTGTGTGGGGTACTAGCCAGCGTCCAGCCACAATAGCGTGCGTGTGTGGGGTACTAGCCAGCGTCCAGCCACAATAGCGTGTCTGTGCGTGCGTGTGTGGGGTACTAGCCAGCGTCCAGCCACAATAGTGTGTGTGTGTCTGTGCGTGCGTGTGTGGGGCACTAGCCAGCGTCCAGCCACAATAGCCTGTGTGTGTGTAGGGCACTAGCCAGCGTCCAGCCACAATAGCGTGTGTGTCTGTGCGTGCGTGCGTGTGTAGGGCACTAGCCAGCGTCCAGCCACAATAGTGTGTGTGTATTGAGCTCTTATTTCACCACCTCTTTCCTGTCTGTGACTGTACCAACAGATTAGATCAATCAAGTGGCAGTTATGTGATATTGATCCGAGGACGGTCAGCAGGCTCTTGGTTCAATAACGCTTTTATCACACCGCTATATCACCGATACATGTTAGAGGGGCCTCACAGGGGGCACAGCCAGTGCTTAAAGAACAGATTCAATAGTGAGTGAGTCATTCCTGTGACTTTCCTCTGACTCAGCAACACAATCATAGATTCTCTTCAATCTGTCCCTAGCTGCTCATGACTGTGTTTCCACCACACTGACACAGCACAACACTGCTATGTTCCCAAATCAGTTTTATAATATCCGGTAGAAATCCTGTCCGTCAGCAGATGCGGCAGCTGTCTCCCTCGCTCTCTGTCTCTGGTGCTCTTGCGATTTCCTTCTCATCTGTGAAACAGGAAGGAAGAGAAAGTTGAAATGATGTTTTGCAGGTCTGGTTGAAATGAGTGAGTTATGAAAGCAGAAGGGAATTGGGATATTTGTAATTATATTTGGCTCGGTCGTTTCCTCTACCTGACGAGCAAAGACAGAGACAAATAACATTTCTATGTATAGAGGATATTTTGTTATTTCTCATTCAAGTTACATTTAACCGGTATTTCCCACTGATGATAGAAAAATGAGGTTTGAATGGTTTTGATTTGGTTACAAATCTCAATCTGTGACAATATCAATAGTTCAAATGGGTAGACACTATGCCAATGAATTAATATACGACAAATCCTTATATTTAAAAATCAGTATAAATGTGGTGGATGTACATTAATCAGAGTGAATGGCTTTATGTTTGTAACAAGTAACTTATCTGCTCTTTCCCTGATCTGTAACAATGTATTTAGGCTTCCTTCAAGCATTAGACACAACATTGGCTTAGATTTTTGTGCATTCAACATAGACTGGCATTCAACACACGTTTGAGTTAAGTGACTGCTAAATACTAAAGGCTGACGGTCATTTGTAAAGTGCATCTATGCGACAAGATCTTCAGGTATACAAGACTGTATCATCTGCATACAAATGAATATTAATTCCATGTGCTTTAACAGCTATTATTTATTTAAAGAGAAATTAGGTTCTCGAGTCAGTATGTAAGCCAGTTTCAACTGAGCCCATTGACTTTGACATATATACAGTCCTACAGCTCCACCAAAAATATTTTCCACCAGCCGCCACTGCATATAGTCCTACCTGAGAGATCATTGCTTAACCTGCAGTACAAAAAGCTATTCTTAGCTCGGAAATGTATTATTTTGAAGCCTAACTGCACTGTTAATAGTGAAGCAATAAGCTATAACATAACAACCAATGAATGCACCATTTTACATGCATCATTATAAGTCAGCTATATTCTTACAATGGCCCTATTGTTTTACAGTATGCTGTATTTCAATCATGTCTCCATGGTTTCTTCCACTCACCTTCCTACATATTGCGGCAATAAAAGGGATACACCCAGTTCTCATTAAAACCGGCCCGTGTTCGCAGACTTTGCTGTGTTAGTGTTAGTTTGCGGTTTATTCATCAGTGCGGTCCTGTTGCTGTTTTTAGCCGATGAAGTTATGCAACACCCACTGTCCCAGTTTTAAGAATCTCTGTTTTCGTCAGGAGAAAACTGGTAACAGGATATTTTTCCTCTCTAATCCTCTCAGGTCTGGATTTAATGAGAGCTAATACACTAGAAATAGTCTCCTTAAATCCAAATGTCATCCTCTGTCCGTGACTTTTGCCTCTCCATCTTCCTCTCTCGGCTATGCTTTGCCAATCCTTTCATCAATCATCACTCCTCCTCCTCATTGTGTTATTTCTGACAGCTACACTGGAGGTGTGTGTGTGCAGACCTGGGAAGTAAAAAGTGTCTGGTGGCTGCTGATAAATGTGGCTTCTCTTTTATGGAGGCATGATCCTGACCTAAATACAAAACATTGAGACCAGTGAGAACAGGATGATATCACCAACTGTTTCTGACATGCATACACTGGGTTTTATATAACCCCTGTAAGTTATGTTATATAAATGGCTTGCTTTCCTAAAGGGAATTATTGCATTTCCTGGTTTCCTTATTTCTCCTAATTATTGTATTTTATGGAAGTGAGCCAGGGAACTGCACACACTGGAGTGAGAGTGAGGTACTTTTGCTGCCACGAGAAAATAAAAAATCTAACTTTCCTCACTATCCTCTCTCTCTCCAACTCTCTTTATGCCACTACTTCCTCTGCAGGTGCTCTCTTTTCCTGAGACAAACCTGCCAGTTTCCACTAGAATAATAAGTCCCTCTGCTCCAATTACAACCAGCCAAACAGGTAAAACAAACATAGTTACTGCAGACAGGCTGACATCCGCAGGGGGAACTCAGTCTGGAGGTCTGCAGAGAGAAGGTCGAGGCATTTCCTCTAACCTTGACACGTCCTTCTTATACTTAACACCAACACCTGTTGACCAGAGCCCTTCGTCTATAAGGAAGGAAAAGGTCATTTGGCCTCACTGAGAATTCAATAACTCTTAATTCTAACTTGTTGAATATCGACCGGGTAACCAGGCAACAAAATAAAAATAAAAACATTTTCCAGAGTTGCTTGGCAACAAAATTCTATTTAAAATGGTAAAAACATACTTCTTATTGCGAGTTTAAATAACAATCCAGAGTCTGAAATGTTTCAATTTATTTTGGTTAAGGGCTCTGGTGTTGATGTGCAGGGAGGGACTCTGACTCATCAGTTAAAGGTTGAGAAGGCAGACAGACCTAGAGAGAGTGTGTGGATTTAAATGTCTTACGAACATCATGTAAACTCTGACTGTGAAGGGCCGTGAAATGCAACAAATTGGCTTCTCGCTATAAATAAAAAGGACCTATAAGTCATTAGATCTTGGCCATTGATATAAGGGTTAATTTCATATAACATAGATTGTGTTTCTATATAGTTTAGCTTCAAGCCCCAAGTATCTTTTTCATCTGTGCCGTTTTCATTTTAAAACAATTATATATTTTGTTCCAATTCAGTTTCTCTGTCTTATTTATACAATTTCTATTCTCCAAGTAGGAGCTGCAACTGCAACATAGTTGAATGGTGACTGATTTAATAAATGCCCAAATATTAAATGATATGGGAACAACAAATATATGTAAAGAAAAAGATGTATTGTGTTTTTGTAATAGATTTCTGGGTGAGATGTTATGTTGAACAGCAGCCCTACGTGACAATTTGAGGATAATATAAAATCATAAAACATACTGTTATCGTAGTGTAGAAAAGTCATTAATTCAGCGAACTGACCCCATCATATCAATCGCAACATCTATCTAAAGTATGGTACCTTTAGCTTACTTTATCAAGCATAAGCTAAATAAAGTAAGGCTGTACAGTAGAGGGGAATTACTATTTCTACTAAAAAATGTTTAACAGCCTAGCTTAAAATACAGTAATAAAGCAGTTTTTCGTTCTGCCTGGTGGTGGGTCTTTTCTTTCTCCCTGTTGTTCTACTTTTTCTGTTTCCTTGTCTCCCTTCTTCCCCCCCGAGCTTTCCCTGTGTCACTGTAACGCTGCCTCTCTTTCCTCATAATGCCCCTTATTTCCCACTCGGTTGACATTTGACATATTACCTCCACTGAAGCATTACTCACCCAACCTCCACAGCATCCCCCTCCTCCGTCCCACCCTCCTTCACTTCCCTCCTTCTGAGTTTATAAGTCAGCAGCAGCCACAGTTGGCTCAGTGTAAAGGGCTGTACATTTAGTGAAGGGGGAGAAACTGGGGTGACGAACACATCTGATATAAACACTTCATCATGCATGTGTTCGGGATGTGGCGTGTGCTGTGTGTGCTTGGCTTTATTGGTGCATCCTTGTGTGTGAATGAAGTTGAGTTTGAAGGGAACTTCGCAGAAAGCTACGACAACGAAATCTCTCAGGATCAGCAAGAGGGTGAGTTTTGTTTATGTGTCCTTTTGTCAAATTTCTCTCTCTGCTTGTTTCAACAGATGGCTCAGTGTGAATAATTTGTCCTCAGCTTCCATGCATGATTTTATTCATAAAATAAAATAATGTGCTTTGAATAAGAATTCTTAAACACACTTTGATTTATTAGCTTTGAATGTAAGTAACGGTGTCCCGCAAGGGTCTATCCTTGGTCCTATTTTTATCACAAAATACTTTTTTATTAAATCACCACATTTTTATGCAGATGCCATCTTAAGCCTTTATAGAAGAGACTATTGTATGTTATTTATGTGAAAACCTTTAATGCTAAACACATTTTGCGCTCTCATATCAACTGAAAAAAATCTGATGTCATGTTCGGGGTTGATTTGATTTTAGATGCAAAGGAATTTTTTTAAAATATTACATTATGTAATAAGTAACAAAAAGTTAAATGCAGTGCTAAATTAAAATGGTTTTATTTCTACAAACGTTGTTACTCATTCCATTTAAAAGTATTTAACACCCCTTTCCTTAGCTTTGTTTGAACTTGCATTGTGACTACAGTTGAAATGATCTGAAACCTGACATAAAATGTACTCTATATTCCTGTTTAAAAGGAATACAGATATTTTTTCTTGTTATAAAGTGCTATAACATGCTTGTTATATTATGGGACTGTATAACTGATGCATCCCTGTTGTTGTTGTTGTTGTTGTTGTTGTTCAGGAGAAACTCCAGATACACCATGCCAGCATGCAGGTTTCTCCCGCTGGGACAAGCTCTTCATCGCTCTGGAAGACTCTCACATGAGGCAGAACATGTTGCTGGAGTCTCTGGAGCAATGCTGTGGAGGAATGGCGTCTCTCAGGACCCAGGTGGACAAACTGGCTAAGGGGACATGTCATCAGTGCAGACCCAGCCTGGAGTCAGCATGCAAGGCACAAGCTGATCAGGCGAGTGTCAAGCTCCAACATGGCTTGCTGAAACTCCACAGTGAGGAAGAAGAGAGGGAGAGGAGGTTAAACGATACCTTGCACCAGCTCATGCACATCGGCCATGACGGTAATGCCCGGTTGAAGCGACTTGAGGAAAATAGAAGCCAACCGACACCGAGACCCGGGGGTTTAGGGGCATTAGCATTTGGCCTGGGGATAAAGCCATTCACATCAGGAGTGCAAGAGCAGGAAGTTACTCCACCAATGGACACGGCCACAATGGAAAGGGCCCTGGTTGCCATAGCAACAGAGCTTCAGAAGGTTCACCTGCAGCTGAGCAGCGTGATCGAGCAGGCGGGATCACTGAGGAAGGAAAGAGAGGACACATGATTGGCCCAGAGGGGGAAAACGAAATTACAAAATAAGACTGGGGACACTCCAGTGGTAATGCTTTTGCACATGCTTGTTCTTTAATGTTGTTTTTAAAGGGGATTTTAGTTATGTAAGCTTGTTTTCGTCTGATGACAATGAATCTAAATGTACCATAAATGTAGTGGGTTTACAATAAAGAATAAAAGCTAATTAAACAATCTAATCGGCCTCATGGAAAGGTTTCCTCCCTCCTCCCACACTGTCAGTTTTAGAACACTTTTGCCCACACTTTATTTGTCAGTGTTTTATTATTTTTCTGCACGTGCCAGAGTTTACACCACTGTCTCAATGTTTGTGTAGATGTGGCGGTTTCTGCAGATACCGACAACCGCAGATGTGTTGGATTGTCTTCAATACAGGGCTTGTCTTCCTCTCATTAGTTGCTTTAAGAGTGTCTGAATGCAAAGAAACCACAATTTACAATGCAGGGTGTTTATGATTTGTGAAACCCTGCCAAAGCTATTCCTGGCACAACACACACACACACACACATTAAGTGTTATAACTTTTTGCAGACTGGAGGTTCTTGCGATGCATTTTTACAGTTTCTGTGTGGTGTGTTTTTTTTGAGGAGTTTTATTAGCGCTAGAGAGGAAATGGGCAGAATGCTGGGAGAAAGCAGCAAAAGGAATAAATAAATTGCTTAAAACTGAGGGGGAAGACAGGTCTACAGGTTTATTAACCTATATGTGATCATATTATTTTGTAGGAAAGTGCTAATTTGACATTTATAAACTGGTCATAGGTTTTTTTATGTCCGATTTGAACCTGCAGATTTACTAGTTACAGCAGTCAGATACATGTGGTAGATATAGAGGTCTTAAATAGTAATGACTAGCATTACATATTATTCAAGTAAATTATAACACCTGCAAATTGTGTGATTGAATGCATACATTTCACAACTTGGAAAAATGGAAAAAGAACGGGGCTTTTGAGCCTTATGTGATTTTAATTTGGCTAGCACACTGACATCACTCCAGTATATTCACTAATGAAAGGCTTACAAGTGTGTGTGTGTGTGTGTGTGTGTGTGTGTGTGTGTGTGTGTGTGTGTGTGTGTGTGTGTGTGTGTGTGTGTGTGTGTGTGTGTGTGTGTGTGTGTGTGTGTGTGTCCTTATAAATGTGAAGCTGGGCGGAGAAATATGGGCTCAATCTGATGGGGTTTTTTCAGGCCTTTTTCTTAAATGTCACACCTAACAAGATGCAGTAACAAGGATAGTAGCTATTTCATGTCAAGACTTCCAACTACCCTGTTTCATACTCATACCCAGCATGCACACACACACTTTTCTGTTGAATGCGGGGGCAATTGTGTTCATGAGCAGTCTCCATCTGTGCAGTTTGTGTGAGGATTTTAGTGAATGGAGGCTTAGTCATTTCCTCTCATTCATTTTTTAGCAAAGAGAAAGAAAGCAGGGGCTACTGCTGATGGAAAATAGAGAAGAGGCCGGGAAAACAAGAATGACAATGCTTCTGTTTCTGACAGGTAGTTGTCAGACGTAATGACTGTTCCCCACACATGTTTTTATCTGCCAGCTGTCCAGAAGCAGCACAAAACCCAACCAACGTCAGCCCCCCTTTCTGGTCTGGCTTCCTCCTTTTTCATCTCTGTCATCTGCCATCTCTCCTTTCTCTCCGGCTTCTTATCTGTATGCCAATCCCATCATCTTCCCTCCCTCTCCCCCCATTTATCTTCGCTCTGATTATGTGCCTTGCTTCTCTCTCTTGCCTCCCATCTCCTGTGTTTTCTCTTCCTTGCCAGCCTCTAAATAGATGTCGTCTGTACTCCGCCAAACCTCAGCTGGCTGGTTAAACTGATTGACATTACAGTGTTGTGAAATGTAGCCAATATATTACGCATACAACAGGAACACACACACACACACACACACACACACACACACACACACACACACACTCTCATCGGGAGGTGACGGACTGATGGCAAAGTGCATTGTGTTCATCAGAGAGTTTTAATTTCACGTCACATAGTCACTATAACACACAACACAATATTGGCACTTTCTCAAAAGCAACGAGGACAATACAAAATAGAATAAGCTCCAATAAACATTTAGCAGTCTCTTATTTACACTTGATTGAATCTCATGAAGGAGGGGGAAGACCAGGAGGAGTTGTGGATAGGTGAGAAGAGATGTCTATTTGATGGGTGAGTCCAGAATCTCCTCATACTCCTCCCTTTGACGCCGCCCTCCCCCACGAGCCGGGAGCAGCTTTATCGCCACCAGCCAACCGACGCTGAGGATGACCATCACGTTCCCGACCACCTCCGGCGCGGTGGGAGCCAAAGGCAGCATGGCCAGATGCAGCAGCATGGCCACAGGTACCTCCAGACTTTGAGAGGCGGACACCAGCGCCGGGTGGAGCCGGGTGAGGGCGTGCGTCATCCCCAGGAAGGCTGCGACCGAGCAGGCAGCCAGGCCCAGCACCAGGCCCCAGGCTTCAGCACTCATGGGCCAGGACCAGCCCTCCTGAAGCAGAAACAAGGAGGCCGGGGCGAGCAGGCAGCCTGTCCAGCTCACTGTGAACAGAGCTGTGCCCACGCCCACCCTCTCCTTCAGGGAGCGGTAACCCACCAGAGCCAGAGCCATCCACAGCCCCGCAAGAGCCGAGAGAGACCATCCGAACGCACCCCGCCAGAACTTCACCGGGTCAGTCTGTGAATCTGAATTGCTCTCGTCTGCCGTGGGAAGTAAGACTAGCCCCAAACCACAGAGTCCTGCCGCTATGGTGATCCCATCAGCCAATCCCAGCCTCTCCTCCAAGAGCAGGAAGGCCAGGATCGCCGACAGCGCCGTGGTCGCCAGGCGCCAGGTCGTGGTGCCGTCTCCGGGAGAAACGAAGGTGAGGGAGGCGTAGGCGCAGCAGAGGGAGAGAGAGTAGGCCACGCCGTAACACAGCAGGCGGAGATGGTAGCCCTGTGGTCCGAACGGGTTCTCCCCCCTGTGCAGCGGGACCGCCACTGAGACCAGCTGCACGATGGATCTAACCAAAAGCAGAAACAGGGGACCGAGGCTGAAGCGTTCGGAGGCCAGGCGGGTCAGAACAATCAAACATCCGTGAGCCAGCGCCGCACCTAGCAGTCCCACCCAGGTGAGCCGGGACGCAGACACAGACGCCTCCCCGAAACTGGCCAGCTGCTCCCCTACTCCTTTCCCAGAAGCCTTTGCTGCTCTGGCTCCCCCCTCACTCCCCTCTGCTCCCCCGAGAGTTTGAAGCTTGTTAGCCGTGTCCTTTTCTTTGGAGCCGAACAAAGTCAGACGCCACTTCCTGCTCTCCGTCAGCTGCTTCTTGTCTGACGTCTCCTCCAGGAAGGAGCCAAAGTCCTCGAAAGACGGAGCATCATCGTAGCCCTCGTCCCCCGGTTGAGGGAAGTGTGTGTGTACTCCGGGTTGAGAGGAGTAAGGGGCCTGCGTGGCGTATTTGGCAGTGACGGTGTGAGGGTGGATCTTTACTCTCTTCTTGGAGGTGTTCAGGAGGTGAGTGGACTCCATTTTCAAAGGTGCAGTGACGGCAGGCACCTGCGAGGAAGGGTGAAGGACACTTTTAGAGCCACATACATACAGGATATATTTTTAAACTCCTGCAAATCCTCTCTCCGCTTTCTCCCTCACACTGTCCCTCTCTGGGTTGCAGCATCATATCTTATATATCTTTAATATCCAGGATAATAATAGCAGTGACTCACATCTCCCCATGTGCATGCGTGTTTGGCACAGATTGTACGTAAGCTCTGCCCATCATGAGTTTTAATTGTTTTTTCTGCTTAATCAGAGTTCACATTAAGTTAAAGGGGACCTATCATGCAAAATGCACTTTTGTACGTCTTTTAGACATGAATATGTGTCCCCGGTGGGTCAGGGAACTCACCAAGTGTCAGAAAACACAACCCTCTCTCTTTTCCTCCATACCCAAATCTCTAAAAACAGGGCTGTAACGGAGCCGATCCAGACTGATACAGATTTGAAATTGTTCTGACGTCAGAAACAAGGAGCTCCGCCTATATGGGCAACTCTCCACCTATCAGGGGAATGAGAGGTTGCGTGGCATGGTAACAGCATGGTAACATGACGCTCGTGCCTCGCCCCCCTCCTTTGCAGGGGGGCGTGGTCAGCTGCAGCTCATTTGCCACAGAATCAGCCCTTGTGAAGACAGGGCTGGAATAGAGCAAATAGAGCGAAATGAGGCATGGCTAAAATGCATGATCTGTTTGGTATTTTGAAAAAAAAACTTCACAGACATGTTTTATATAGGTATGGCCCTACAATATATTATTCAAATATAGCATGATAGGTCCACTTTAATATTAGCAGAGCCATAATGGAAGGAAAACAACATTATCACACTCTTAGTCTTAATGGATAACATGACCTTCAAGGGTTGATAGAGACTGTTTGCAATGTCGGTTACGTAAGCAAGTGCTTCCTGCCTCATTTGTCTGTTATCTCTCTCTTTCTCTTCCAATGTATTGTCTCTTGCCAGAGGCTGTATATTTAGGCAAGGAGTATAAGAGGAAGAAGAAGAACTGTTATTGAAATGTTCAGCCTGTCAAAACATTAGATATGTCAGTTTTTAAATAAATAGCAATTGAATCCCAGGTGCACATTATGTCTAATCTAATACCTCCTCCTCCTTAATCTCCCTCCCCTTCTGTAATTCATGTCTCCATCTCTAACTTTTCCCTTCAAGGTCCTGCTCCATGGATGACTAACTTTTAACTGAGGTAGTAATAGCTCTCTGCAGCAGAGTAATATGGCTATGCAGGTGCTGTACGGCACACACCCACTGCTGCATTTCAGGTTGTAAAACACTCAGCAGTCCACTGGTTTCTCTGGGAAAGGGGAATACTTCCCGATTGCACAATCTTTATTCATGCAAAGGCACATGAAGCGTAGCGCTCAGTTATTATCTTGGTATACCTGTATCTACATAATCAATCTAACATGTTCACAATGGCAATGCTAACAGGCGGATGCAGGTATGTTCACTTACTATAACTACCATATATATACTAGGCTACTCACTGTAGTGCTACCTATCATCTGTTTCCCATGAATAACCTATCCCTATCATTTGTGTGCACTTTAAAGGTGGAGTAGGTAAGTTTGAGAAACCGGCTCGAGATACACTTTTTGTTATATTCCATGGAATGCTCTTAACATCCCGATAGCAATGAATATCTTAAGTGCTTTGACAAAAAATCCATGAAAGATGTCATCTGTGTAAGCCGTGGCGCTGTAAAAAAGCACGACCAATCATCTGAGCCGGCCCGGCTAAAGTAACTGGATGGCCTACCTGCCTGTCAGCCTTCCATCTGTGCACAAACTTATCTCGTGCCCTCATTGGTCATGTGCGCGTTCGTGTGTGTTGGAGGAGGGGCTCTGTAAGGAAGTGGCAGATTTTTCTGATCGCACTTGAGCTGGTTTCTCCAAAATGACCTACCCCACCTTTAATTGTCTTCTCCATGATAATATGTTTGTGTTTCTATCATGTTCTGTTGCTTTTACCTCTTAGGATATTTAACAAATCGTACGGTGTCCTTGGGTGTCATGAAAGGCGCATTAAATCAAATGTATTATTATTATTATTATACCAGCATGATTAAGTTAGATTATTAATACAAAGTACGGCTGAGGCTGATGGTATAAATGGATAGTAAAATGAGTTTGGATGGTATTTGTTTACAAAGTATTGAACGAATCGAACTCTCAACTGATGATGGCAAACAATTAAAAGTTAAGGGATTACACAAGGGATTACAACTCATCCTAAGGGGAAAATGGATGTCTATTTCACTGCAACATATCCAATAGTTTTACACACATCGCTAAAGTCAAGCCCATGATGGTACTAGAGGAGAAGATTATCAAAGTACTGCAGGCAGAGCAGAAAGCAGGTAGTTGTGGCAGCTCACTGCTGTTTCTCCCATCGTTGGTGGTGCAGTTTTGATTTGGAAGGAAACGGGGAAAGCTTTGAATTAGTGGTTGCCTGTGTGGCCTGGAGGTGTGGAGTCTCTCCTCGAATCAGCCTGAATTGCGCTGTTATAAATTACACAGAAGGGTCATGCTGTGAGTGCTGCTATAGCAAAGAGCTCAGGAACTATTACAGTATGTGTTTAAGGGAAATTGTGCTTTTTTTTAATGAATTTAATTTGAAAGGAACATTTACTCTACGCTAAAATGAAGCATGAATCAGGGTTGAATGGAAAATGTGTCAAACTTCACAGCTCGCTGAATAAAATGAATGAAAAAAAAGACGAGTTTGCATAGATGACATTTCAGAGGATCTAGTCGTTTATACCACCAAAGGTTAGAGGACACCCGATCTGCGGCTCTGTGAAAACACAAAGAGCGTAAAGAGGCCAGGATGTTCCAGTCGGACTCCTCTCAGTAGTATTTACTGATCAGGATTGATGCAGCTCGCCTCTGCAATGCTGCTGCTGCTGCTTCCACTCTGCTGCTCTCAAAAGCTTGTTCACACCTTACACAACCTTAAAAAAAACCTGCACACTGTCCACCTTGTCTATTTACATGTATCTTCTTCTATATCTGAATTGAAACGAAAATAGTATTGGGCTGTTTGAAGGCAATTCTCTTTAGAAATACTATACTGCCAAAACGTCTAAAAACATTGTGTGGTTGTTTACTTTTCTCAAGTGAGACTGACTAGAGCTAATATTTGCATCATATATCCTTTTGAAGGTCCATATAGTAGGCTATAGGTGTGCGTGTGCGCGTGTGTGTGTGGCATGTGATGTGTTTTAAACAGTAGGCACTGTATGAGGGAGATGTTATGTCAAGGTTATCAAGGTTCCTCAGTAATGCGCCCCTGAGGGTACACACACACACACACACACACACACAGTTTAGATCCAATTACATTGTCATTTACATCATTCATACAACAGCAAATAGCTGCTAGTCCCTGACTACATGACACCTGCACATGCACGTGTAATGGCCCCCGTCACACTGAGGGTCTTTTTAAGCGTCCACCGACAGCATGTCTGCATGTCTGATTGTTTATTCTACAGTGACAGCCTGATCCGTAACCCATGACGAAATCTTGAATGGACATAAGCGCGCGCTCGCTCACGCTCACATTGGCACACGGGAGCTCAATCAATGATCCCGGTTGAGTCCTTCCCAATTAGTAACCCGCTGTAATCCCGTGATATTGCATTAGGTCGTTCAATCGATAAACTGACGTGTGGGTTATTTATAGCCATGTTTAAAAAATATATATATCCTCCTTGATCTCAACTCACCTGCTTTCGAGCGGAAGGTTGAACTTCACTCTCGGTCAGTCTCAGTCATTTACCGAGCATCTCCAAAGCTCCATCACCCATTATTGGCCATATGTTCTTCTCCTTCCTCTGCTGCTCCCCTCCTCTTTCTCCTGCGACAATCGATAGTCTCCTCAAGGGCACCGCGACACGCCTCAGGCCGGCCAGCTCACTGCTCTCTGCTCTCTGCGGGGGGGAGACGTGTGTTTTATGGCATCCTGCTGCTCGTCCATCACGCTCTGAGCACTGATACAGATGCTCCTCCTCAGCTTGATCAAGAAAGAGAAATGGAGAGAAAGGGGGGAGAGGAGGGAGGGCTAATCATAACGTCTGAGCATGCGTGATATCCACTGAGCACCAGCATGTATCATTGCATGTTATCTGTCATCCCCTAATGATGAACCTCGTGAGTGCTTTTGCCTCATTGAATATACTTTACTTCTGTGTCTGATGTAAGACAAATAATTACATTGTTTTTTCCCTCTCTCTTCTTTTTTATGTTGCTATGATGCAAAATGAGTTGTACTCTTATTTATTGCAAATGAGTTTGGTAATATGCAACATTAAGCTACAAAATGTAAACCAGGTTCTGCATTTCTACTTCATCTTAGGGACCAATGTTTAAAACTTCACAAGATAAGATTCTCCTGTGCCCTAATGGTAAAAAAAAAATGCAAACATTTCTCCTTAATGTGTTCAATTAAAGGTCACCTATTATGCAAAATCCACATTTTCATGTCTTTGCTACATAAACATCCTCTCTGTGTAAAGAGATTCTGAAAGTTTCACGAAAAAAGATTCTCTCTCTTATAAAAACCTGTCTGAAAATGAGCTGATCAGATTTTGGCCACTTTATGATGTCATAACGATCTTTTGGCTTGTGTAACCATTAGCCAATCACCAACCAAGGAAGGTGAGTTTTCAGTCTGCGCTGGAAGATGTGTAAGCTTTCTGCTGTCCTGATGTCAATGGGGAGCTCATTCCACCATCTTGGAGCCAGGACAGCAAACCCACGTGTTTTTGCTGATGGGAACTTGGGTCCCCCTCGCAGTGTGGGTGCAGCGAGCCGTTTGGCTGATGCAGAGCGGAGTGCACGTGCTGGGGTGTACAGTTTAACCATGTCCTGGATGTAGGAAGGGCCAGATCCATTCGCAGGGCTGAAACAGAGGGGATTATGGGTAATGCTGCAATGATCTGTTTGGTGTTTGGAGCCAAACACTTCAGAGACATATTTTGTATATATCTGAGACCTGTAATATATTGATGAAAAACAGTATAATAGGGGACCTTTAAGATAATTGTTATGATATAACATACATACATGCTTTTTCAGACATTACAGTGCTTCCAACTTTGTGGTGACAGTTTAGGGAAGAGTCTTTCTTGTTTCAACATGACAAAACCATAAAGAAATGATTTTTTCTTTTTACCCTTTGGTGTGGAACAACTTGACGGTCCTGCGCAGAGCCCTGACTTCAACTACATCTAAAACTACGAGATAAAATAAAACAACGACTGGAAGCCAAGCCTTAAAGTCCGACACCATAGAGTGGTGCAGTGACGAGTCCTAAAACCCGGAAGTGAGTTAGCATTTGACCACTTCCGGTTCCCTCGTCTCAGAGCCAATGGGTTTTCTCCATAGGACTTTGGAACATAGCTTGAAATAAGGTCTGTGGTTGAGACACATTTAAGAGACGGATCACGTTTTGTTCTACGACATTAAATACATCAGCAGTGACCCCACTGGTGGTTTTTGAAGAGTTTACGTGTCTGAAAAACGATGGTTGTTACCAAGTGGCTGAATAGGACTACGGAAGTTGTCGAGGCCGTTGTACGTCATTACACCGAACACTTAAACACTCCCGCTAAGTTTGTTTGCCCTGGTCTGCTTGAAAGCAAGTACCTGCCACCTGCAAACTGTTCAAACAAAAGCTTCTACTTTTTGAATCTGTATTTTTTAATATTGATCTTAAGTTGTCATGACGGTGAAGTCGTGCGACCCTGCTGTACTCGGCTGTAGTTCGTTTATAGCATAACGTTAGCATTTTGCTTCTAGCGATTAGATTTATGATTAGAAAATTATAAAAGTAGGGTAGACATGGAGATTATCCGGCAGAACAAAACGTGCATTTATCAAACAGGTTCGTTTTCCACACATCTTATTTTTTACAATATTCCAAAATCCTATGGAGAAATGCCATTGCTTTTTGTCGAGGGAACTCATGTGCAGTTTACGTCCGGGTCGGCCTACACAAATACGTCATCCCTGCATCACTCTATGGGCATCCCAGATTAATCAATGGAAGAAACATCTTGTGTAAGTGTCAACAATATGTTAACAATTACAGATTGGTTTAATCTTTCTGTGCCTGACCACATACTTGTATTCATGCAATGTAAGGTTAAAAGCAGTGAAGGTGAGAGGGGATTTAATGACGCAGATATCGACAGAGTTTGTCTCACAAACATCCCCCACACTTTCATCTTTTTGCAACCTGACAGTAATAGCTTTGACATTTTTTCCGCCGTAGCGCTCGTGTGCCCTGCCCCGTCTCCAGCTGTATTAACCTTTGCCAAATGCTGCAGGGTTCACTGTTGTTAGACTGGACTAATTAATACCAGCAACACTTCCTGGATCAACCTGTCTCTGCACTGCATGTTTTTCTTTTGAGATATCTGTGGTGTCTCTAAATGAGAGAGTGGGCAGGTTTCCTTGCCTAACTAATTACACTTGGTGATTTCTCTAATTACCCCTTCAGGGATGAGGGTATGTCAAAGTAGTTATCTCTGTCAACAGAACGGTTCTAAACTTGGAAACAATTATATTTCATCTGCGCTGTTGACGTTTATCTAGTATTGACTGTTGTAATTAGGCAACTGCAGCAGCAAGCGAACATTTGCCTAATTACACATTAGGCAGACACAAAGCAATGTTAGTATCTATTTGGAATGATGTCTCTGGCCACCAGACAAATGTAAGTCTAATATACATTCCCCTTCAAGCTCTGGTTTAGCCTTTTATAACAAATGTGGGGAGTTTTCTGTCTATTTAGCTGCTATATTCTTTCCTATGTTGCTAATAGCTTACTTATTCTCTCTACTGTTTGGCACTGAGCAGGAAGTTGGGGTTTTTAAGGATTGACACCCTAAAATAGCTCAAAAGACATAGTAAATACAAATAGTAAAGCCATACAACAAAATCAAAGAGTTCATTTTGACATCGCTGACATAAAAATATTGATAAGTGCAGCTTTAAGTTGTTAATGTCAGGGTTGAGTGAAGCAGGCAGGACCCAAATGCAGATTTCAACAGAAAATACCTTTATTTCAAGGCTAATGTACAAACAGAACTCTTCCCTGTGAACACAGTCAAGACAAACAAGGATCACACAAAGACTAACAGGAAAAAACAAACCTAAATGCACACAGGACTAATCAAAGAAACAAGAGACAGGTGAGGAGGGAGGAGAAAACACAGGGGCACCAGGTGAACACAATCAGGAAATCAGACACAGGAGGGCAAACACAGAGACAGGAATCAACAGACAAGACAGGGGCTGAAGTCGAATAGTCCATTTAGCTTAGGAACCTTCCTAACGGAGTGAAATGACCCGGAATTCACTCAGTGGCAGCCATGATAAGTGCCGTTCGAATTCTCTAGAATGATAGGAAAGGAGGTTTCAAACTTCCTTTATAACCTCCTTTAGCTTAGGAACCACTGGACCTCCCTAACCGAAAGGAGAGGAGAAAATGCGGCCACACAATGCCTTGCAGCCGCAGCATTTGCGTCACACAACAGTCGGCCGTTCACGGAAACAAACGATTATGACCGAGAAATGATATCATGAAAGTTACGGTGGCACTGGTGTGCCGTGAGGCAAGTCCGGATGTGCCGTGGGATTTTGTGACAACCATACGTTATTATTGCAATATACAAAAATAACATTTATTAAATGTACTACATCAGTACTCTGTAGGTTTATATGTACGTAATCTGCGCGACTTGTGCGTCCACATCTCCACGTGCAGTGCTGCATAAACATGGCTGAGTCAGCGATAACTTTCGAGGGGTGGAGGTATGCCCATTATGTTCATCCGAAGGATATACAGGAATGTGACGGTGAGGTGCAAACTGTGTCCAGGCCAGAAGCTGTTATCCACTGCTGTAAACACCACGTGGTCAAACCTCAACACACACCTGCAAAGAACACATGCTAAAGTGAAGCTACCACCCACGCTATTTGTTGTTTGTTTGACTGACAAAGACATTAGAGTCCTACGGGAGTCACGAGGGAGGCAAAGAGGAGGCAAATCCTACTTTGATTGAGCTAAGTATCGTTGGCGTTTTTAATTTTTACTTTTGTTGTTTAGCCCCTCATGCTATAATCATGTGTATTTTCTCCATTCCTGTTCATGTGTCTTCTCGCAATTATCACTGGCCCCGTGTATCTCGTAATCGATATAACCGGCCTGCTCTCGTCTATCCCACGTGCTCCACTGAGATCCAACATCTAGTTTCAGGTGGCCTGTGGAACTGCCAGTCAGCTGTTCCTAAGGCTGACTTCATCTCTGGCTACGCCTCCCTGCATTCTCTGGATTTCCTTGCTCTCACTGAGACCTGGATTACTCCATCCAACACATCCACCCCAGCAGCTCTCTCCACTGCATATTCCTTCTCCCATACACCCAGACCCACTGGCAGAGGAGGTGGCACTGGTCTCCTGCTCTCTCCCAAATGGAGCTTTTCCCTCTTCAAGCTACCTAACTTCACTCCTTCCACCTTTGAGTTCCATGCCGTCACAGTAACCCATCCTATACAGTTAACCATTGTTGTTCTCTACCGTCCACCAGGCGCCTTGGGGGACTTCTTGGAGGAATTAGATCATCTCCTCTCACACATCCCTGAAACTGGCCCTCCCGCTGTACTTCTCGGAGACTTCAACCTCCAGATGGGGAAGATAGACGAACTAACATCTCTGTTAACCGCCTTTGCTTTCTCACTCTCTCCGTCCCCACCGACTCATAAAGCTGGCAATGTCCTTGATCTCATATTCTCAAGGAACTGCGCTACTTCTAACCTCTCTGTAAACCCGCTCCACACATCCGATCACTTCTTCATTTCATTCTCTCTATCCATTTCCAAACATAACAAACTAATCTCTTCCCATCCTACACTTGTCCGCCGTAACCTTCGCTCCCTCTCTCCCTCTACCTTTGCCTCGTCGGTGCTCTCAGCCCTCCCTTCCTCTGATTCGTTCCAACTACTGCCTCCAAACTCTGCTGCAGAAACTCTCCTCTCTACTCTCTCATCCACTCTGGACTCGCTCTGTCCTCTGACATCTCGGCAGGCTCGTCAGTCCCCTCCGGCTCCCTGGCTAAATGATGCACTGCGTGCTAATAGAACCGTCCTTAGGGCAGCAGAGCGGAAATGGTGGAAATCCAAACACCGTGACGACCTCCTAACCTATCAAGCTCTCCTCTCCTCTTTCTCTGCTTCGATCTCTCAGGCAAAAAGCACTTTCTTTCAAGATAAGATCCAATCTTCCTATTCCAATCCTAAAAAACTATTTTCCATCTTCTCAACCCTCTTGGACCCTCCAAAAGCTCCTCCCCCCTCCTCACTTCTGTCAAGCGACTTTGTTACCCACTTTGAAAAAAAGGTTAATGATATTCGCTCTTCTTTTTCTGACTCACCTTTACTCACCGCTGGGTCACCAGACCTTCCTTCCACCAACACACTAACCTCCTTTTCCCCTCTCTCTCCAAGTGAGGTT